AAAAATATATATATATATATATATATATATATATATATGACTTCTTCAGTCTGAGGAGCTGTACTAAGCTCAGTTTTATAAATAGCACATTCTCATAGTGGATTTGGGTGTGGGGGAAATGTTTTAAAAGAATAAAACCATAAACTATGCAGACCTATGTGATTTTATTCAAATTTTTTTAATTGTGGAAAAAATAATTAAGTATAGAAATAAAGCAAAAAGTTAAAGTGAGTATTTGCAAAATAAATGACAGGAAAACAGCTAAAACTAGTCGTTTGTTGTTGTTTGTACAACAACCAATGAAATTCAGTTAAATGTCAGTTTTGGTCAAAGCTTGAAAGAGCTGCTGCGAAGGAACCAAAGAGCCACATGTGGCTCCAGAGCCGCAGGTTACAGACCTCTGGTCTACACAAAGGTGCAAAGGTGGCGTTTCGATTTTTTAAATATAAAATCCATCCATCCATTTTCTTCCGCTTGTTCCGAAGTCGGGTCGCGGGAGCAGCAGCTTGAGCATGGAGGTCCAGACATTTATTTCCACAACCATCTCTTCCAGCTCTTTTGGGAGGATTCCAAGGCGTTCCCAGGCCAACCGAGAGACATAGTCTCTCCAGCGTGTCCTGGGTCTTCCCCTGGGTCTCCTCCCAGTCGGACATGCCCGAAGCACCTCTCTAGAGAGGCGCCCAGGGGCATCTTTACCAGATGCCCAAACCATCTCAACTGGCTCCTCTCGATGTGGAGGAGCAGCGGTTCTACTCTGAGTCTCTCCCGGATAACCGAACTTCTCACCCCATCTCTAAGGGAGAGTCCAGCTACCCTGCAGAGAAAACTCATTTCAACCGCCTGTAGCCGCGATCTCATTCTTTCGGTCACTACCCAGAGCTCATGACCATAGGTGAGGGTAGGAATGTAGACCGACCGGTAAACAGAGAGCTTTGCTTTACAGCTCAGCTCTCTCTTCACCACAACGGACCGGTACAGAGTCTGCAATACTGCAGCTGCTGCACCAATCCGTCTGTCAATCTCACACTCCATTCTTCCCTCACTCGTGAACAAAACCCTGAGATACTTGAACTCCTCTACTTGATGCAAAACCTCACCCTCGACCTGAAGAGAGCAATCTACCCTTTTCCGGTTGAGGAGTATGGCCTCAGATTTGGAGGTGCTGATTCTCATCCCAACGGCTTCACACTCGGCTGCGAACCGCTCCAGGGAGAGCTGAAAATCATGGCACGATGTCGCCAACAGGACCACATCATCTGCAAAAAGCAGAGATAGAATCCTGAGGCATCCGAACCGAAAACTCTCCGCCCACTGGCTTCACCGAGAAATTCTGTCCATAACAGTTATGAACAGAATCGGTGACAATGGGCAGCGCTGGCAGAGTCCAACTCCCACCCTGAAGGGGTCCGACTTACTGCCGGCAATGCGAATCAAGCTCTCTCACTGCTTGTAGAAGGACTGAATAGCCCATAACAACGGGCCTCCAATCCCATACTCAGGGAGCACCCCCCACAGTGTACCCCCAGGAACACGGTCGAATGCCTTCTCCAAATCCACAAAACACATCTAGACAGGATGGGCAAACTCCCATGACCCCTCGAGGACCCTAGTGAGGGTAAAGAGCTGATCCAGTGTTCCACGGCCAGGATGGAACCCACATTGTTCCTCCTGGATCTGAGATTCGACCAACGATTGGACTCGCTTCTCCAGTACCCCTGAATAAACCTTACCAGGGAGGCTGAGGAGAGTGATGTCCCTGTAATTGGAGCACACCCTCCGGTCCCCCTTTTTGAAGAGGAGAACCACCACCTCAGTCTGCATTGCCCCCGATGTCCACGTGACGTTGCAAAGGTGTGTCAACCAAGACAGCCCCACAACATCCAGAACCATAAGGAAATCAGGGTGAATCTCATCTACTCCCGGAGCTCTGCCACCTCGGAGCTTTTTAACTACCTCGGCGACTTCAGCCACAGTTATGAACGGATCAACCCCAAAGTCCCCCAACTCCGCTTCCTCCATGGAAGACGTGCTGATGGGATTGAGAAGGTCCGAGGAGTATTCCTTTCATCTCCCGACGACATCACTGGTTGAGGTCAACAGCACCCCACCTTCACTGAACACAGTGTTCGTAAAGTGCTGCTTTCCCCTCCTCAGCAGTCTGATGGTTTGCCAGAATCTCCTCGGAGCCGACCGAGAGTCTCTATCCAAGGTCTCACCGAACTCCTCCCACATCCGAGCTTTTGCCTCAGAAACAGCCAAGGCTGCGGACCGCTTGGCTCTCCGGTACTCCTCAGCTGCCTCCGGAGTCCCAGTGGCTAACAAGGCCCGATAGGACTCCTTCTTCAGCTTGACAGCCTCCCTAACCGGTATAAAATCCTTTTTCCAGAATTACTGTTTGGAGGCACAAAGCTGAAATGTTTTGAGAACTTCTTAGTGTTGATAAAAAACGTTCCTCTATGGATGGAGTGTAAGCAAAGTAAAGAAGCAGTGGAAACCCAGAGAACCTAAATCTTTTGAGGACTGGGGGCAAAATAAATAAAAGTAAATAACAAAATAAACCTGCGTCCAGGTCAGCTCTCGTACGTTGGCTCTGATCCTCGAGAGCTTCTCAGGACTCGGCGCGTCTCATTGCCTGCCTCGTGTTTTTGTCGAGGGAAGCTTCTAGAACAGGACATCCAGCCGGACTGAAGAAGTGTTTGATAGTGATGTTGTCACGACAGCAACAGAAAAGCTGCTTGGTCTTCACTCAACCCCAACCATCAAACAGTGTTTACAGGCTGTCGGGGCCGCAGGCCTCATCTGAGCTCTGCTCAGGGAGAAAATCTCAAACAGGAAGAAGATTTGACGACGGGCTGTAAATTCACCCACTCATCTGGACGAGTCTTGATTTGGTAACTAAAGTCAACCTTGTGACTAAACAGCTCCGATCTGATAATAAATCAATAAATCTGGGGTCAGTTGGTGGTTTTAGTTTTAAAGGAAGCAGAAAAAATTTATTTCCTGACTCACTAACAAGCTTTAAGCTAAAACACTCAACGTTTAACAGCAACTCGCACAAACCAGACTGGAACAGATCCACAGAACTGCATCTGGTCTGCCGGCAGCATTTTAGTAGCACAAAGTTTTTATTCAGGTCAGTTTAAAACAACAAACGTTTTATGTTGTTTTGTGTTCAGGCTGCTGTTTAACACACCATATAATATTATATATGGTCTCCAGTCCATCACAGGGACACACAGACACAAACGAGACAAACAACCATTCACTCTCTCTTTCACCTAGGGACAATTTAGAGTTACCAGTCAGTCTAACATGCATGCTTTTGGTCTGTGGGAGGAAACAGGAGTACCTGGAGAAAACCCACACATGCACAGAGAGAACATGCAAACCACCAAGAAAGGCTTCCGGCCAGGATTTGAACCGGCGACCTGCTCGCTGAGAGGCAGCAGCTCTATCAACTGAGCCTTACACAAAAACAGATTTTTTTTTTGTTTGTTAAATTTTTGCCTTCATGTGCAAAAAATAAATTACTTAAACAATTCAAGATTTTTCAGTCAGGTCATCTGGATATTTTCTTTTTTTTTTTTTTTTTGTGCTGAAACGTTTCGCCTTGGATCCAGAAGGCTTCATCAGTCAAGGAAACACACAACAAAACTGATTCTTCCCCCAACAGCTTACTCCAAAGTGGAACAAACCAGTTCTGTTGGTGATAAGTTGGTCTCTTTGTCACGCCCCCTCCTCCATTGCCGGCCCTCTTCCTTGTTGCCAGTCGTGTCAAACTGGTTGAAAACAACAAAGTCCAACAACAAAGACCTGACTGAAAAATGTTGGATTGTGTACCTGGATTATTGAGCATGGGCTTTGTTACTTCAACAATTCTGTATAGATTTATTTTCTAAAGTTTCAAATTCAATATTTTTCCATGTAGTATTTATATAACACTAAATGAAGTGCTTTATTTATTTATTTTTTAAGTTTTATTGCATGTTATGTGGCTCTGAAGACATTGGGTTTATTAGGAAATGGACTGTGGTGACTGGCTCCGTAGAGCAGCCATTTAATCAGTTTCAAGTTTTCTTAAAATATTCCCACTTGTGTTTTCAATTCTGAGAACTTGGCCAAATTAACAGCAATGCTGAGATATTTTAACAGTCATTTTCTAAGTAATAGATAATATTTAGAGAGACGAGTGAGTGAAATAAAACCACAGGCTGCAGGTCTTCATTCAGTTTTTATTCTTTATTTGTTTATCTCCATCCATCTTTGGACAGCTTCCTCCCAGAGACACTTCCTGTTTTCCTGCATCAGTAAACATGGAGTCATGTTTCTGAAACCTGACTCTGGGCGGTGGGGTCAGCTGGTCAGAGGGTGACCGCTGTGACAGATCCCACTCGTCACAATGCCTGCTGGAAACGTCAACGCAGGAAGCCCAGTCCGTCCACTTCGCTCCGCTCGTCACCAAGTGGGAAAAATAAAAGCCAGGCTTGGTTTTCCTGTGATTGTGCAGCGATGTGTGAGGGTAAACGAGCTCCGGGGACAAAACTACGCTGACCTTTTGTGTGTTCGCTCGTCATCACGACTGGATAGAAAGCAGCCAGTGGCAAAATATGTTTTTAGGAAACGGTCACGTGACGAGCTGCGCTGCTGCAGGCCATGGCACTGTCAGAGGACGGTTTATTGTCAGAACGCCTCGTAACGCTGCACAATGTTTATTTGGGTCAGCCAGCTGGACGCGGGGCCTTTTAGTCACATTTATGGAGACGTGAAATTTAGTTTATTTTAGTAAAAATGACTCATTAGAGCAGGGTGTCCAAACGTTTTCATTTATGGGCCAAAAACAATCAGATGAAAGGACTCGTGCCACAAAAATATAAATTTTACTCTCAACGTGAACAATACTTTGGAAAAGGACAAAAGTTTACTGATTTTGATGGAGAAAGAGTTAATTTGTTGTAGTTGCAAAACATTAAAAGCCTCATAAACATTAATCTTCTATTTTTTTTATTAAAATAGTTTAATTTATTTGATTTGTTGGGTCTATGTTTGTTGTTTTCATGTGTTTGGAAAGTTCATTTTTGTCTGTTCTCAACAACAAAAGCATAATTTGAGTATAAGTGTCCTTTTAAAAGAGGGTCGATGGTCCAAAAGGCTGATCCAAGTTCTGAAAAATCATCCAGCTGTCAGTCACTACACTGATTCATTAAAGGTTTGATAAAGTTGATCAACTCGTATGTAGATGATACCGTGTTATATTCATTAAAAACTGTCCACTTTCCCTCTAGATTATTTTATCAA